CGAGGAATATCCTTTCCGCACCGTACGATATAATTACAAGTTCAAGATAGCATGTGTAAACAGCTCCAAATAAGACCCAGGCAGGATCAATTGGAAGGGCACACAACTATGGGAGCGTGTAGTGTAGGCTGACTGTCACAAAAGCGCTGCTGCGGTAGGCTAGTGGCGTGAAGTACACTATGTACGTTTACTTCGGGTCACCAGGTTCCCGCTGCAGCGTCTTGTGTCGCAATCTCTTATCCACGCGCTCGCTGCAGGACCCCAGCCATTCATCGTGTTATTTAGGGTATTTTGAGGATTCCTCAAACGTGGCGTTGTGCGACAATTCTCCGGATATTGCCCAAGAGGTATAGTACAGTACTGTAGTGTACCGATCAGTTTTGAAAAGTCACCCTAACCACTCTCACTACTTGACTTTTTCGACAGGCTTTTTGGCCAAAATATGCTGTCCAAGGAATTGGTCATCTCGATGAGATATTGAAGTCGCGCATGTGGAATAGAGTACTCGTAGACCCATGCACTAGTTGTGATTGGCCTTCATCAGGAGTTAGTTCCAGTCGTATGGTGCCCTATACTACAGTACCAGTAGTTTGTATTACTCTGGAAGAAAATAAAAGCAAGTCTCCATGTTGTGAACTTGCTATAAACTTCCAAAATTGGCGTCGTGTATCACCAAGGATATTTTATTAGATATGGTGCAACACTGAAAACTATCATTTTTGACTAATCTCTATCATTCGCTTCGATTGGTCAAGTGTAGCACGCTTCGATGATGGGGTGACTGTCACCCCATTTTTGAAGTGCTCCCACCACGACCAATTGCACTGCGACTGTATCGCCGGTACTGTGGTTTCGGGGTTTTGGAAGTACGTATTTCTATTATATTTTTTCCCGATATGTTTCACTCAGTTTAGTTTGTTCTTATATATTCCATTGTGCCACACTGCGTCAGTTCGTATTAGGTTCTCTGTATTACCTCATTTTGCAAGCAAACTACAGTACGTCGAATAGGCCTGTAAACAATATTGGCTTTGTCATACTAGTAGTATCTCTTAGTAATACTGTACTATCTGTGTATACACCTATTAATAGAAGTAAAGCAATGCAGCGCCAATTAGAGTGGGGACTTGGGTATACTACTGTAGTAATGTACTGTTCACCACCCGCAATTAAAGTGGGGAGTCATCGTGTGATAATTGTACACCGACTAGCATTGTCCGGACATTCAGTGTAGTATTCTTATGAGTGGAAGATTTGGTTTATGTTCGAGAATGAGACGTATCCGGACAGGTTAATTTTGCAATCCAAAAAATGTCGATCAATAATTTTTCATTTGTTATGAAAATGAGTGCCAGACATGAACTATCCCAGGCGTATAGATGGACCATCCACGCCTGAAACTCACATCGATATCTGAGAAGCGTGAACGATTGTGTTATCCGGAAAATTTGGGTAACAACCAATCAAAACCTCGGACTTTTTCTGTCAGGGCTGTCGTGGCTGTCGTCGGCTGGTCGCGGGGCGCAAAAACTCCTTAGGATTAGTCTGGATGCCACCGTAAAAAACATCATGATACTTCGAAGTATTGCAATATTGCGTTTTTTGCATTTTTCAAAATGCAGCGAACAACATAATTTCATTAACGTTATGTGATATTTTAAGTTTGTGGAGTGTATGGATACCACATCGGCTTCGACAAAATCCAGTAAGAGTTGCTTGCAGTTGAAAAATAGAAAGACGTGAGCTGTCAAACGTCGAATATCCGCGCACCGATAGCACGCTACGATGGGGCCACTGCTACTTTGTAACTCAAGGGACCGCTACCCAGCAACTCAAGGGACGTCACCCTGTCTCGATCGCCGAGTAGTTCACAGGTACATAAATTTAGTCCACTTCAATACTAGTAATAGTAAAGATACTGTATATGGTTTCAAGAGCATCAAGATGGACACAGCAGGACAGGCAAGTACAAATGTAGGAGCACAGTGCGATATCCCGCAAAATATACTGCCGGTAGTTTGGGTACTAATAGTATATTTTTTATCGCGTTTTCAGGATGTTTTCGGCCGAATTTCGCAATAAAATTTGCGAACAAGATGGTATCCGAATTCAAATTATCTCGATATTTAATCGAAATACAGTATTGAGAAATACCATAATGTTTGGTGGTATCCAGACGGCCCCTTAGCAAGCTGATATTAGTAAGCGCGAATAAACGTCATTACATTACGTATACACACAGTTGGAATTGGCCAATGGGTAGTTTATAGTCTAAGGCGCCATACGACTGGAACTAACTCTGATGAAGGCCAATCACAACTAGTACCCGGTAGTGCTTGGGTCTACGTGTCAATATCTCATCGAGTTGGATTGGTGGATATTCCTTATGGGAATCCCGTTGGTGGGTTGAACGACTTGCCCTCCTCGTTTTTACTGTCAATGATTGACATTTTTGGCTGATTTCATTTTCCTTTTCGCTCTACGATGGTCATAGTCCTCTCCTCCCTCAGCGCGTTGGCCGCTGCCGTTATGGCTGGCTCCATCACGGACCTCCCCGAGTCTGTGACCAAGCTCATCGACTACTCCGCAAACCCCTGTGATGACTTTTACCAATATGCGTGTGGCGTATGGATCAATGATACTGTGATCCCCCCGGACGAATCCTTCATCGATGTTTTCTCCGAGATTTACATCCAAAACCAAGCCGTGTTGACGAAGATTTTGTCTGACAACAAGCCCAAGCTTGGCGAGTTCTACAACTCCTGTTTGGACACGGATACGCTGTCGGCGCTCGGCCTGGCACCGTTGGCCGACTCGTTCGAAGCCATTCGGTCGGCCAACACCACGTTGGACCTCCTCGTCGTGGCTGGTGAATTGGCCAAGAACGGCATCCCTGCCTTTGTCAACATCAAGGCTAGTGCTGATGACGCCAACGCAGTCAACAACGCCCTCTTCGGTTTCCAAACCCCCTTATCGCTTCCTCATCTTCTCTACCTCATTCCATTCGTATGGGATGTTGTCGAAGCCAAGTACAAGGTGTACATTGCAACGGTTTTGCAGTTGGCTGGATACACTACCGAAGAAGCGGCAGCTGCCGTGCCGGTGATCATTAGTTTTGAGCAAAGTCTGGCCGGTGTCTCCCTCAGCAAGCTCGAAGAGATGGAGGCCATTGCGACTCCGTACACTGCGCTCACGTTTCACCAATTGGACCAGAAGTACCCGCTCGTCATCGGCTCGTGGCTCAAGGCCAACGGCTTCAACGTCCGCGACGAGTGCGGTGGGTCGAACGACTGGGTGGGGTTTACCGACTTGACTTACTTTGAAAAGGCCGAAGCGTTATTAACGAACACGACGTTGGACGACCTCCGCACCATCGTAGAGTACAAGCTCATCCACGCCTCGTCCACGCACCTGACCCCTGAATTCCGCACGGCCAACTGGAACTTCATCGGCAGACTAGCCGGTCAACAGGTGGAGCCTACTCGTGAAAAATTTTGCGTCGCCGAAGTGGATAAAACCGTTGGTGAACTCCTGTCCCAGTACTTCTTAGAGGAGGTGTGGTCGGCTGACACAGCTAAGACGGCCGACGAACTGGTCAAGGCATTGAAGTCGTCCTTCTCCACTGGCATTACCACCGCCGACTGGTTGGACAACTCGACCCGCGCCAATGCGCAAACAAAGCTGTCCAAGTTTGAGCACTTGTTGGGTGGCCCGGAGAACCCGCAGCTGTACCCCACGCTGACGTTGGACTCGAAGACGTATTTGAACAACCGCTGGAAGATCTCTCAAGTGGACATCGACACCAACTTGAAACTGAACGGCCAACCTGTGGACAAGCGCAACTTCGGTTTGTCCCCCCAAGAGGTAAATGCGTACTACAGCCCCCCCTTGAACCAAATTGTGTTCCCGGCCGGCATTTTGCAAAGCCCGTTCTTTAACGGCCAGTTTGACGCCGCCCAGAACTTTGGTGCCATCGGGGCGTTCATCGGACACGAAATTACCCACGGGTTCGACAACATCGGCCGCAACTTCGATGGCGACGGAAACTTGAACTCGTGGTGGTCGAATGCCACCAACACTGCGTTCAAGGCGAAGGCCCAGTGCATTAGCGATCAGTACGACAACTTTGTCGTCAAGAGCGAAGTGACTGGCACTAAGTTGGGCAACATCAGCGGCAAGCTCTCTTTGGGTGAGGGCATTGCCGACAACGGGGGGCTCAAGACCAGTTTCCGCGCGTACCACGAGTACTTGAAGAAGTTCCCGTCACAGTACACTGAAGAAGCTGGCGACAAGTTGTTCTACTTGTCGTACGCCCAAAGCACTTGCGCCAAGTACACGGATGCCTACCTCGAGGTGCTTTTGGCGGACACACATCCGCCCAATCGGTTCCGCGTGACGGGGGCGTTGCAAAACAACGCTGAGTTTGCCCGTGTGTTCAAATGTCCCATTGACTCGTACTTGAACCCGTCCAATAAGTGCTTGTTGTGGGAATAGGGTTGATGGATACGAAAAATATGTAGCGTTGTGCATTTGTAAGGAAAAACTAAGAAACGATGGCTTGGTGTTAGTGTTTTTTTTTTTTTCTTGTGCGGCGCACACAAACACGACGATGAATACGTGAGATCAACCTTGTAATCAATCGTCTACGGTAGTTAGTTGTTGCGTCATGAACTTGAGATAAATACAACCACCCGACGGGTTTGGTGCGGGTTGCTATATGGCGGCACAGATAGTGCTAGAGAGGTTTTGCCTTGATGGCTTTCACGCGCTATTTATTGGAAGCTGTTGTCTTGCGCCGGTGTTCTCACCGACGGCTAACGTTACCGTGTTCACAGCGGTGACCTCGATAACAAATACAAAAGTAACTTCATTAGAGTGATTTTGCTAACTTGAAATTACCTGTGAAAATTCTGGAATACTGGAGAAGGATCCAGAAACGAAAAACCTGTGTGAAATGATTTTGCTACGTTAAAATTTGTTGTGAAAAGTGCATGGCTGGCATGGACGAGTCGATCGTACTCATGTCGGCCATGGCACTACTGCTGGAAGAGTCCCAAGAGCATATACGAGCGATACACATATCTCGCGGCCGGTTCAACCTCATGGCACAAAGCTATTCAACGTGTGCCTTCCACTTTTGCTTTAAGAAATACGAGATTCAGCAATTCAAAGTGCTGCTGGAGATTCCCGACCCAATAATCACGCCCCAGCGCTTCTTCGGCGCTCATCGTACTCCTCGTCTGTTCCGGACGCACGAAGGGCAGCAAAGATTTGTTCTTGAAAAGCAGACATTAAGTCGTCATAGCGTTTTCGTGCTCTGATGAGTCAGAACACCCTGTTCTGATACAGAACATCCCCACTGCCCTGTCAGTGAGGTAGCAGCGTCTGCGAGCTGTGTAGGAGGTTTTTGTGCCTTCTAGAGGCTGTTCCTCAGAGTAGAAGTCAGCGCAGACATTTGGTCACGGAACATCATTGGATGTCATGATCAATCATAGTTAGTTTTGATTGGCTGGTTCTTTCCAGTCAGAAGTAATTCCCTTCCAGTTATTCCTTCTGCCTCCCACGTGTCTGTCCCTGCCTACTGCCCTTCCAACTTGATGTATTCGGCTCGAATTACTGAGACGGAAAGGAGTAGACCTGTGGCGCCTGCTCCTTGCCGTCCATTGGTCGGTACTTTTGGTGGTCGGAGTACCATATGGATTGGTAGAGTGTATCGACCCCTTTATCGGGTCTGATAGTTTAGGTAGTTTGAGTGGCTCGTTGTCATTAAATTCGCCTTTTACCTTTCAATATTCCAACGTTTTGGTTTCGATCGGTTTTGAAGTAGTTGAGATACAACAAAGAATTCCTTAGTCAAAGTCTCCTGTTGCCCACAAGTTTGTGTGCATCTACTCGAGTTTGATCTCTCTCGTTTGCAGCGATCTACATTTTACCCTTACGCAGCGCCTGTTCGTGCTATGTGACTAAAATCGCCTGTTCGTACTCTGTGACTAACATACCCCCGAGAGAATGTCGTCTCCACCCGGAACGGTTGGTCTGGTGCTCCTACGCACTGTCTCTCAAGAGATTCAATATGCACCCACGATGTCGTTGCCGTCAACGCCAATAGCTGGTGCGATGCCGTTCGCGGCCTACCCCCCGGAAATCGCTGCCGTTCTGCGGTTGGAGCAGCACGTGGGCAATCAAGTGCAGGCAGGTGTCCACGAACAGTGCGCGCGGCTGGATGACGTGCAGAATGCTGTCGGCGCCCAGACGCGACATACCTACGAGCAGATGGTGCACCTGCACCATCAATAACAGCTGCATTCGCAGCAGCAAATGGAAATGAACTATCGGATGTTGGCTGAGCTAGAGGAGCAGCGCCGCCGACAAGAAGTCCTCGTCGAGCAGCTGCACGTATAGAAGAAGCAGACTGAGGCCCACGAGCAAGGTTTGCACCAAGCTGCTGCCGCGCCTGTCAAGCACGGCTAGCAACTGGAGGAGATGCAACGTCGGACTAGCGCCCGTTGGCATGCCTTCTCGGCGACCCTGGTGCCGGCTGTTGTAGTGCCCACGACTGCCCGCGCGGTCGCGGGTGTCCAAGTCGTCTATGGGTTCCAAGAGGTACCGTCATTCAACGGCAGCACCAAGGTGCATATGCGCAAGTTCATGGACCAATACGAGGCGTACGCCCGTGAAGTCAACATCCAGCGCGCGTCACTCAGCGCATGCATCGACCACTTTTCGATCGAGCGCATCGCTTACTGGGAGATCAGGAAGGCCCACACGAGCTGACGGAGGAGGACTGGAAGGTTTTCTTCCTTGGTGCCAAGGACTGCGACCCTGTGGACATGTCCAAGTTGGACGCCGCGATGGCCAAGCTCAAGATTGACACGACCGTGCAGTCGGCCGAGTCCCGGGTGTCAAAATTGGTCTCGGATTTCGAGGCGGTACTCGTGCGCCTCTCAATGGAGGGGTTTGCGGTGGCCGAGCCAAAACTAACTGTCGACTATCTCATCGAGGCCGTCCAGCCACCGGCCGTGCGCGCCCGTGTCAAGGAATTCATGAAGTTGAACGAGAACCGCAGCCTCAAGAAGGAGGCTCGCGATTTCAAGCGATGGCCGGCGGAATACATGCGTCGCTACGGCGAGTTCGAGCCGCTGATGGCCGCGGCGGTGCCTGCCACCGCAAAGCCCGACAAGTTGCCCGCAGCGACCAAGACCCCCAAGGCTGGGAAGGCCCCCAAAGTCGTGGCCGTCGTGAACGTCGACAAGATCCCGAAGTCGAACTTCACCCAAGAGAAGCGTGCATGTTTTAAGTGCCTGAGCACCGAGCACAATGTGTTCAAGTGCCCTAAGGTCACTGACGGCGAAGCCAAGCTCCTGATGGAACGTGCCCGTTCCGTCTGGAAAGAAACCAAGTCGGTAACCGTCGTCGAGACGGTCGACGTTGCCGAGGTGTCCCTCGACAATGCCGTGTTGTGCGCTGCCGGCGTTGTGTGTGTGCCTGGTCAGGCCGTCTCGCTGGACGGGTCCTTCCACAGCAGCGCCGATCAAAGTGTGGTGCCCCCCGCGACGCTGGCCAAACTCAAAAAGCAAGGCCGCAATGTCCTCGTGACCAAGCTCAATACCCCCATTAAGGTCAAGGGTTTTGTTGGCCCTGCCCACACCGTCACCGAGGAAGCCACGATGGACCTGCGGTTTGAGACGGACGCCGGCCCGCTGATGCTCACGAATGTCAAGTGCTGGGTGTCGATGGGCACCTGCCCGCCAACGTCGGCGACATCCTGTTGAGCCGCGCCAACATGTATAAGTTGGGGTTCGACACAACCACGCGCCATGCTGCGTGAGGCCGCGTCCTTCACCGATGCGATCGACATGGCCGACACGGTCTCGCACATCGGGGTCGTACAGGCCGTGCTGGCCGTGACCCACGAGCTCGTGGATGACCTGGCCGAGGAAGAGGAGGAGCTGTTGCCCCTGGAGACGGACTCATGTTTCCCCGACATGGTTGCCGTCGATGCTGCCACCGAGACCGCCAAAGTCAAGGTGGTGTTGGATGCGACGGTGGTTGAGGCCGTGACCGCCGGCTGCGGAAGTGAGTTTGCCGCCAACTTGGCAGCGCTCCTCGACAAGTACGTCGACGTATTCCGTTTGAGTCTGGGCTGCGACCCACCCGTCAAGATGCCGCCGTTGAAGGTGCACTTGGCCAATGGGGCGCGGCCGATAAATTGCAAGGCCCGTCGGTACTCCCTGTCACAACGAGAATTCATGCACCAACATGTGAGGAGTTGGAGGCAGCCGGTTTTGTCTACCGGAACCCCGCCAGCCGGTGGGCCTCGGCCCCCCTGATCGTACGCAAGCCCCACACCAAGGACGAGTTCCGAATGACGGTGGGCCTGCGACCGATCAACAACCAGACCGAGCAGATGCCTGGCCAATGCCCATGTTGGAGGTGGTGGTGGATCATTTGAGTGGCGCTGTGTGTTTTTCCTCCTTGATTTCTTCAAGGGGTACTGGCAGTTCGCCCTCGACCCCTGCTGCCAGGAGATGTTCTCATTTTTGACCGACACTGGCGTCTATTCCTCCACCCGCGTGATGCAGGGTGGCAGCGACAGCGTGTCGTACTGCCAGTCGACAGTGCAGGAGATGTTCTCCGAGCAGTTGTACAAAGGCCTGTTGGCCTGGTTGGACGACCTCTTGGGGTACCATCGTACCCGCGACGGATTGTTGGGTGTGCTGGCGGACGTGTTGGCTGTGTGCACTGTCAAGGGTCTGAAGCTGCACCCGAAAAAGTGCAGTATCTACGTGACCGAGGCCAGGTTGTGCAGGCGCATCATCAGTGGGACTGGGGTCAAGCATGACCCCGCCCGCGTTGAGGCGCATCAACAGCTGCCGTCCCCCGTGACTGGTGCTGACCTGCAGCAGTATTTGTGCGCCATCAACTGGATGCGCATGCGCATCCCCGGGTACAACGTGCTGGTGCAGCCGTTGACCGAGATGCTGGAGCGGGTGTTTGCCGCTGGTGGCGGTAACAGGACCAAGCAGGCCGCTGCGGCCGTGCTGTTGGAGGACGTCGGCTGGTCGGTCGTGCACGACGATTGTTTGACCAATACCAAGGCTGTCACCCAGCAGCGACTTTGTGTGTTTGCTGACGCGTCGGAAGGCTACTGGGGATCTGTGATCACGCAAGTGCCACCCGACCAGTTGCACCGGCCGATTGACGCCCAGAGCCACCAGCACACATTCACCGGTGCAGCTGGTCGGTGGGCAATTGTGGAAAAGGAGGCGTATGCAATTGTTGAGACGTTGGTCCGTGCGGACTACCTCCTCCATCCCGCTGCCGGTTTCAATTTGTACACCGATCATCGCAACCTGAAATATATTTTTAGCCCAAGATCTGTTGTGGCATCTGTGCCCAAGTACACGGCCCAAAAGTTGGAACGGTGGACCCTGCTGCTGACGGGCTACAGTTATGTCATCCATAACATCCCCGGCGAAGTCAACGTCTGGGCTGACCTGCTGTCGCGCTGGGGATCTACCCTCCCCAGCATCTGTGCCATCAGCCAGCAGCCGCTGCTGATCTCACCGTTCCGGACGAAAAGTTTGTTTGGCCCACATTTGTGTCCATCGCCGAAGCCCAGGTGGTCTTGTCGAAAATGACCAAGAGCCTGGACGCCGGTGATACTGGGTCTGGCCAGGCGTGGCCTCTACGTCTCGTCGACGATGTGATCTGGGTGTCCGTCGCCGCCACCGAGTTGCAGCTGCGGCTGTGCGTGTGTGCCCATGCAAGTTTGGCCGGCCACCGCACGGCCAAGGCCACGTTGGCCAGCCTGGAGTCGTTCTGCCAGTGGACCGGTATGTAGGGCGACGTCGAATATTTTGTACATCGGTGCCTACATTGGACCAGTGCATCTGGCGGTGCGCCGCGTCCGTTTGGCGAGGCCCTCCACTCGACCGTATCCAATGGACTGATTCATTGTGACTTTGTGTTCATGGGCGCCTCCAAGACAGGCGAAAAGTACCTGCTGGTAGTCAAGTGTGACGCCAGCAAGATGGTTTGGTTGTTCCCGGCCCCCGAGGCCACGGCGACTTTCGTCAAGGACTGCCTCCTGGGTCGGAAACCCTTCAGAGAATTGATGAACTTGTGGAACTTCTTGAAGCCACTGTTGTAGTGTAACATGTCATGCAAGTGTTCGTCGTAAATTATGGATATTAGAGTGATTTTGCTACGTGATATTTCCTGACAAGTTTCACGATGAAGGCTTTTGATCTGATTATATTGGGAATTTCTTGATGAATATAATCTGCCAGAAAATCTGACTGGGAATACCTCTTCACACACAATGGATGACTGCCAAATATCTCGCAAAACAAATTTTCTTCCGGTTGAATCTGAGACATTTTTGAAATAGAACCACGCTCGCATTTTGTGAAGACGAAAAAATCGTCTTCGCAAGCGAACCTCTCGCATCGACACTGTAAAATTTGATATGATCGAAATACATTATCAAAGGCTTTGGCATCGTGCACAAATTTTCTCGCAATCTCACCGGGTAACGAAGGCAGGTCGAGCCAAGTCGTGGAGTGCCTCGATTGCCACCCATCGACGTCGGTTAAAAAAATACCGTTATCCGGACTCGCAAATTTGATTGCGAGAGGCACTTGCGAGATATTTGGCAGTCACCCAATAGCCAATCAAAACACTTGAACATGCTAAATTACCAATTTCGCTTCATGCATGAATGGCATGGTCGGCACCAAACGTAGATGAGCGGTAGATAGGACGCACTAGTAGATGAGCGAGGATATCGTAGGCGAGCAGTGGTATTGTGCCGAACGTAAACCAGCCAACAGATACATCCTATCCCCAGTGTTCATCGACCACCTCAAAGCGGTCACGTTTCAACGTCGGCGCGATACACACTACAGCATATAGGGATGGTGCAAGGTCACAAACTGTGCATATTGCACCTAATGCACTGGGTTGTTGATATGCCTAAAGATTGGGAGCCATTCCCTACCAGTAGGTGCTCCAGAAGAGCCGCAACAACGCACACAGCGGTAGTCCTGCTTAAATTTGAATTTTTCCTATAGCAGAAGCACCTTCCCAACATGATATTCCCCGAAGGTTTTCAGGGAAATTGTATTGGAAAATTCGTGTGGATTCTTGGTGCAAAATCACTCTATTGAATAAAAATATATTGAACACATCGAAATGTCTTGATTTTGTATACAAATCTCTATACAAATTCTTGACGGAAAAGTCATGTAAGTAAAATGGAACGGGGAAGTATTAATAATACATAGTGCTTGTACAAAGTAGTATTTGTCCAAGTTCAAACTCTTTAAATTGACAACGAAGGATTTTAAGCCACACTATGAATCGAAGTAAATTCTAAATTTTCAACTCTGATTGGCCTCAATAACAAATCAAATCAACTGATTTGTAGTAGCTGAACCTGATTGACCACAATACATGGATACACACATAAACTTCGGTGTGACTTAAAATCCTTCGTTGTCTGTACAGTACACTGAACGAGATATGTTCAAATGAAGGGACCTCCGATTGGAAATGATTGATAGGTTTACCGGTTACGTACAATATTTATTATATTATACAGGGATTATCATATTTGCTCTATTAATCAGATAAGTTGAAGGAGAAATCAGATATAGGTGTACAGAAATTATACGGAAGAACAGTAAAGCATGAGCATCATTCCTGACCTATTTTGACCATAACTTCTAAGATATTCTAATTAGGACTCTCTAAGCATTATATTCAGGCCTCCTAAATTTGTCGTTTTGCTATAAAATACGCAAGAAAGCGACAAATTAAGTTTGGGTGGGACGACAAATTAAGGTTATTTTAAATTCAGCAGAGGAAGCACTAATCCGCCTTCTAATAGTTTGAGGACGCGATTCCACGGGCCTTACACAGCAAAAGCAACCTCATGCCGCCCAAGAAGAAGGCGAACACCCTCTTTGGTGCGCACGGCACCAAAACGACCTAGTCGTCAAGCAGGCCGCCGAGTACGTGGCGATTGGTACGTGAATCAAATTCATCGAGCCTTCGCGATCTTCATGTGTCAGCAGGCCAACCTTATAAAGCGCATGAACATCAGTGTCCCAAGGAGACAAACCAGTGGACCCACCTCGGCCGCCTACTCACGGTCCAAGTGAGCTACCAACTGGAGCCGAAGGAGTTCTGCGTTGAGAAACGTTCGGACAACACGCGACCTGCGAATGGTGGCTCATGACGTTCTGCATCGCCGTGATCATCGATGTCGTCAAAATTACGTTCGCCGTTCTGCCAGCCGGTCCCTGCACATCGAGCAGTAGGAGTCGCACATCCACGCGCAGGTCGGCATGGTGACAGACATGCTCGACGTCGCGATCGTGAACCAGGGCGAGTCCAACGACCAGGAGTAGGAGTCGCTTGATTCTATGCCCATCTTGGACCACTCGATTGTTCATTTTCCAGGAAGTGCTACGCCAATACCGTCGCTGACGAGAGCGATATCTCCATCCTAAAATTGGAGATAGACGAGAATCGCACGGATATATCTGTCCCGGCCAAGCAGAAATCGATGATGCCGGTAGTATAAATATCACGATGATCCCTTTTGGCGCCTTAAAAAAGACCTTTTTGGCACCATAAACCGCCTTTATGTGTAAGACGACAAACTAACACTGGCGAGGACGACAAAATAGGACGACAAAATAGACTAATTTGTTTATTTTGTCGTAAGCGACAATTTTAGGAGGCCTGATTATATTGCCTTGACAATTGGTATGCTTCTCTACCTGGAACCCATTGTCAAGGCAATAATAACCTATTTTGACTGAGATACAGTTGTTCAAGGCTCAACAAATTGATACATATCAATCGGAGGTAGGATACATACATATATATATATATATGTAATTCAGCGGTGCTATGATATTAATTCGACGTGGCTGGTTTAAATACTCGCCTCATCACATACAGGGCGGCGTCAACGTCGTCGGGACTACTACTACTGCTACTACTATTACTACTACTGCTACTATTGTGCACCCCCACCAGACTGTAATCGTTGCCGTGGCGGTGGTGGCTACATACATATGAGTCAACCAACACACATATAGTATTATCCCAAGGAAGATGATGCATTGGTCGTACTCGTCGTAGGGGGGTATCATCACGTCAAAGATGGCGCATCCAATGTCTCCCGCCGCGACCAGTTCGTGGATGTTGTGATGCGACGGACTCAGTTCCATTGTGCACGGGGCTAGCTCATCCAGACACAAAACCATCACCTCTTATCCCCAGGATTATTACTATTATTATAGGTAGGTCGTGTATACCTTGAAGGAGTTTATCACGGGACCGGCGAGCCAAGAGCGCGTGGTGGCTATGGACAAACGTTTAGATGATCCAAAGGAAGGATGATGGTGACCAACCCGTCGTCGTCGGTGCTGTTGGCGTCCACGATCGAGTACGCTTTCAAGTGCACCGCGCCGTACAAGCTACAAAACGCCCCGCCGCCGTATGTCATAAAGAAGGAAGGAAATATGCGACGAGGTTCGTCGAATACACACACGTACACGCGGGACACGACCGACATGCACGGATGGTCGTGCAGAGGAATCACGGCATGTGGCGGCATAAAGAAGATGCTAAATGAAAGTCATGACGCCACGAATGTGTGACATGGAGACGTGCGTACCCCATCATCATGGTCTCGCCGTGGTACAAACTCACGTAAAACACATCCGACCCCATGAGGTGGACGTTGGAAGATGTGGGAAGCACCATCGAAACTGCATCGCCACGTTAGAACCAACAGGGAAATGGCATGCGACAACGTACAGTCTCGGGTGGTCAGGGACTCGCATACGTCGCGAATGGGACCAGTGAGTTGCTCGACTTGCTGGGATGTCAGTCCTTCAAACTGCAGCGGCAGCGCCGGCGGCGGAGGCACGAGGACATGACGCAGGCTTCGCATGGAATGGTAATGCGCTTTTATGAGCGCGTGGACGCAGGGAAGTGTGTTGCTGCTGTCCGTTTGGAACAGCTTGAGGGTGATGGCAGCAGGATCCGTCGCGTCTCCTGCGGCGACAGGGGCCGTGGCAGGTGACGGCGGCAGGATCGCGTCAGCGTCGTCCGCTGCCAACGCCGTCCGAGCCTTCTTCGCATGAATGGCCGCCACTTCCATGTGCCTATGGACGGTCAGGCATCGCGACATGATGTCCAAGTCCGAGCAACCAACTCAAAAGAGCCCACATACCAGCGTACGAGGTGGTCCTTGCTTGTCTTTAACCAAAGCTTCGTGGCCACTCTACAATAGCGCGCGCTTTTATGTCACGTCCACAGATCAACCAATCACATGTCGAGAAAAACCTTGGTCGAACGTCGGATTGGCTCATTTCACTGTCAAGATCGAGCCAAGTTCAGACAGGTTCGTCGGTAGCACTTGCCACGGCGCCTACCATACCGGGTAGAGTTGTAGCAAAAGCCCCATCATCTTTGCCTACAACAGCAAGGACGGATGCATGAAATGAATGCCGTCAGTTGCGCCATAATACATACATATTTGTTCGATGTACTATTAATAGTATTGGTAGGGGGTTCACCGAAATGCAATTTTTCTGACGTTGTCGCGAGTTTATGTCACTGGAACGAGTGACGTTAAGAGGTGCATGGTGTGGTGACATATTGTGAAATAGAATTAAATTGCTCATACAATCGTCCTATCAATTTCGCCGAGGTGGAATAATATATTACAGTATCTGGCCTTTGGTGACCACTTCAGGACCATCGGGTGGGATACTAAAACAGTGGTGAGCACTTTCATAAAACCTCGCACATTTTATATTTCTTGGGCAACTTCATAGGGATGCACGGCTTCTCAACGATGACGACGTGGTCAAGTCCTTCGACTGACTGCTCGCAGCGCTGTCGTTGGGTACGGCGTCGCTACTACCGGACGGTGCGTTGTGGGAAGCCACAAGAATCCGCGAGGTACTCTCTCCATGTCGGGACAGCATGGGTCCCAACGTTCGCTGAGCGAGCATGGCAGTCGAGCCGCCGCCACTGTTCGCGTTACTTCCGCTGCGAGAAAGCCCTTTGGAAAAGCTTGCTTGGCGAGACAACATGGCCCGGGAGAACTCTCTCGTGAGGGACGATGCGGTCGCGGTTGAGGCGCTGGACGCGTCGATGTACGCGCACACTCGGTCGTACTGGGCCACGTAGTCGGCCATGGCGTCTTCGTCAACCGCTGCTTCCGGGCGCTGGATCATCTCGGCGGTGCACTTGGCAATCGCAGCGTTGAAGTCTTCCAGGTTCAACGTCTTGACGTCCTCAGGTTTGAACGAGCGTCGCGACGCTGAGCGAAGGCGGAGACTGCGACGGGTGGCGGTTCGCGCCAGAGGTCGGGGCGACGGCAGTTCACCGGTGACTTTCGAAGCCGTCGGCTGGACTGCATCCCGCAACGCCTCGACGTGTGTGGCCAGTTGGCCTTGGAGCACACACAGACGACCGACATGCTTGGCCACATCGCACGTCATGCCGCCACGGTACTCGTCCATCACACTTTGAATGGCTCGGCAAATCTATTCCATCCATTGAGCCCGCAACTAGTACTACTAGTACTAGCAGAGTAGTAGTAATACTACCAACAACAACGTACAGGCAACACCGTCGGGCCCGCAAGCACCGACACGCGTGAAAACGTCGTCGCAAAGTCGTGGGGCATGTACAGGAACGGCGCCGTGGACGTCTAGTTTTTCATTGGTTAACCAAATTGAAAGTAAATAAACATCAATTGGCAGGTACTAGTAGTTTTATCCACAATATTCGACGATATGACGTTATAACTGTAGATGCATAACGTACTGGTATAGTCGGTACTATTGGTTTGTCTAGTTTGTCCAGCGCATGCACCTGTGACACTGCGAGTTACGTCGTCGCATTCATTATCAAAAGTGCACTGTGAACCCAATAAATATAGCCCATAACTTACCGTGACATTGATGATTTGAAACAGCACGTCCAGCATGCACGAGTAATTGCCCTCGTGGAGGTACACACTTGCCCTACACACAGTCCACCTTATGTCATAACAGCATTGGATGGTCTAATAGTTATAGAATGGTTGGCTCGTACGCATTGAAAAGTGCGATAAAGTTGGACGGACGGTGCGCAATTGCTCGCTGGAAGGCCGAAGTGGCGTCCACCACGTGTCCATGTAGGCGCCAGAGGCACCCGAGATACGTTTCCAAGTCAGACTGGATGCTCTGCACTTGGTCATCGTCCGTATCCCTCCTTGGTTCTTCTACTGATGGCAGGTGTCATACAGCACTATGGGTTTTGTATATATAATTTACGTACTAGTATACTATTAATAGTACAGTATACAACATGATTAGACATATATATATAGTATATACTTCGAAGAAATATAATTATATATTTATATATTGTCGATTTGATACAAATTTGGGGAGGGGGTGCAATCGAATCGCGCCAACCAAACCGATCCACAATCGATCTGATTGGTTGAATTTTATTTAGAAGATTATGATTGGTTAATAATTTTGAGCTCATCTGAAGTAGCCAATCAAATCGACTTACATTTCAACGAGAAACCACGCCACAACACGAAATTTCACTCGAAAGCACAATATATATATAATTATATATAATATGACGATATATACAAGTATACATATATTCGTATGCAGATCGATATATAATATTATATATATATACGTAGGCAGTTCGATCACAAAGCACACATTATATACTATATGTATATAAATATATGTTCGTGTGGTGAAAGTGGTTTTGTGTACATATTAATAATACCTGCGGGTATTCCACCTCCGCGTACATCACTTGCGACATGGTTGGGGGCGGTGATGGCGGATGACGACGAGGTGGTCCGTCCACGCTGCAACGCCTGCTCCACCGATGCAATCGCAGTCGGGATGTCCCCCAAGTGGTGGGCAATCTAAGCACGCCAACATATATATATCAATACCCCCCACGACTCAGGTGAATATATATATATACCTGGGCGCTCCACACCAGACAAGCTTGTTCCTCGGCCACACTCGTGCCCGTCGAGTACTTGGCAATCAGCAGCGCCCGCTGTGCGTCGGCAAAGTTGCCACGCTGGGTGTGTACCAACGCATCCCACATCATGTCGGGGAAGTCTGGTGACTCGCTCGCATTTAGCATGGCCTCCAACGCTACTCGGAATATTGCAGAATAGGACACCACAGTGAGGTTCGCCATCTCGTTGATATTGGCTACACTAGTAAGAAGACGCCCCTATATATAGTGACACAAAGGGCGGGGTGGCTATCGACCCACCTAGCTGGCTACCATAACTGCATTACTACCTAGCCAAAACTACCCAGCTAGCCAGCCGGCTAGCCTCGCCGCAAATATACACTCCATATATTGTCAACACGAGTACGAGCCATTCCGGTGTTGTACAGTAGACATGTTGCCGGTGGCGGCTAAAGTTAGCCGGCTAGCCTAGCCGTAAATACTCAACTTGCATCGCCGCAAGTATACATTCCATATATTCTCTACACGAGTACGAGCCATTCTGGTGCTATAGATAGCCATAGATGATGCTGGTGATGGCTGTAGCTAGCCGGCTAGCTAGCTAGCGTAGCCACAAACATGCACCGTGAGCATGTAGGTAGGTAGGTACCTTCAAGCGACGGGTGGTTTGGATGGCTCAACTGCTGAAAGCGAAACATGTGCAGGTCCAAGAAGGGCGTAGTCGATGCAATGTCGATGTCATGGAAGCATGGAAACGCATGAAATGCATAGAAAAAGTCGTGGCACGCCACCTTGAGCGCACTCGCCCAGCGTTCACAGAACCGCAAAAGTCGGTGGCCCGTGGCCGAGTCGCCTACTCCAACCATGTGAAAAATCTGCGACAGAGGGGGAGTTTCACTAAACGGTTCAATGACGTGGCAACACGCAAATCCTGGATCGCTTGGTAGCACTTGGACGTGGAAATGAACAGCGCGGCTCGGTTCATGCGAGTGGCAAATGACTGTGGCTGCAGAGCCAGCGCCATCGAGTAGTCGTCCAACGCTACCATGCAAAAACCGAGATCAATTTTATCAAATACGTCGAGGTAGAAGTAATATATCGAGAATACAACAAATATATATATCATTTGAACAAGATGTACCTCGCTTAAACTTGAGCTGGGTATGCATGGTAGATCCTCGGTTGTGGTACACGGCCAACTTGACATGATCCATTCGAGTTTGAGTCGTGTCCTGGCTTGAGGTGTCCATTGCGGCGGCGGCTTTGGTGTACCTACAGCACCATATATCGTCACCGTGTCGCATAGTTCTTCATCGCCATGTGACAGTGTCCAGGCTAAATATAGTCCAATGGTGCAGTGCTGCAATATATATATATAGGAGTAGTACTATTGTCGATTTGGAGGGGGTGCAATCGAATCGCGCCAACCAAACCGATCTGATTGGTTGAATTTCATTGAGAATGTTTTGATTGGTTAATAATTTTGAGCTCATCTGAAGTAGCCAATCAAATCGATTTAAATTCCAACGAGAAACCACGCCACGAAATTTCACTCGAAAGCACAATAGTAGTGTGCGTTTTTGCTAACGTTTCATCAAATTTCCCCATTCCTTCCATGCCAATCAAATTGAAGAGACATCGGATTGGCTAATAATATCCACTGATTTTAACCAATCAGTGGCAAATGATTCCGGATTCACCATTATACATGCTCCGTCGGCACGATACCATTATTGAACGGGGTATGGGAATTCAGACCGAGTCTCCAATTCAACGCAATGTATGCATTGTGTGTGCGGGTGGATTCGTACATACCATTCAATGGCTTCGTCGTTGCGATTGAGCTCCCGAATGACGTTGGCCAGGGCGTAGTACACTAATTGCCGGTGCTGGTCCGTCGAGGGCTTGTCGTCTGCCTGCGTCGCCGCCGTGTACAAGTGCCGGCACGCTTCTTCCAACTGGCCGAGCTGCCGCAATGCCAGCGCCGTGTTGGTCATCGTGGCCGCGTGTGTCGGGTCGACCTTGAGCGCTTCGCGGAATTCATGCAGGGCTTCAAATGAAGAATTAATTAGAAACTTGCTTGGAAGCAGGCAATTCACGCAAACAAGTGGATATATATATATATATATATATATATAAGAGAGGCTACAGATCGGCCAAAATTGGCAGTTTGAATGACAAGCGCGGGAGATCAACTCGCGCGCTACCAACTCGATGTGGATAATGTGTAAATATACGTATACCTTTATCGATGGCGTTCATTTGCATGTACACGTTGCCCCTACCGAGTTTTAGTTTTCAGCCCATGCAAGTCAAGTACTACTCGATTGAAATAACTACTACTAGTAGTACGCATTGTCATGTTGTTGTACTTGTCCATACTATGTGAATCTTCGAGACAATATACAAAGTATGAATTAGAAAGGAGAATAATGTACCAAGTATAAATCGATGTGAGTTAAGATACACATATTGTGTTAAAATACTAATTCCATTTTTACTACGTAGTATATCGTTAAATGAGTTTCATATTTCAATAAAAATAAAATAACTGAATTGGTATAGAGCATAATATCGTGCCTAACTACTAAAACTATATATTATTAAAATAGAAATCTCATTATATCGCGACCGGTGCATTGGTAGAGTAAAATCTTGCCTAAGTATTGCATTTAGGCCGACTCTCGATGCCACAGAAATGTTTACGTCAATTAATATTCTGATAGAGAATTCCCTTTTCAAATGGGACGTGAGAAGATATATTGCAATATATTTTGAGGTGATCTGTCGATGCCATGATGGTATGAGAACTATTGCTGGAAAATCATGTATTAAAATTGGACAGCTGTAGTTGATACTTTTTTTTCTGTCAGAAAACAGTAAAACTCCGACGTATTGTGTCCATTTATAGTATATGTTAGTGTTGGTAGTCAAACACACTAACATATATAAATCAAAAATAGGTGCATGTTTTTTTTACATGTTTTGGGGCAGCCAGAGTGGCCCTTATATATATTATCCAAAATAGAACTTTGAATACGTATATATATCGCTACATATTCGATTTTTAAAATACTGTTCCAAGAACGAACTAAGTACATCGTGTATACCGGTTGAGATGTGGAATGGGCTTGGTTGGGGCCGCACGGATAGCCATGGTGAAGTTCCGCAGAGCTTCTTCCCACTTGAACTGGCTCGCAGACAACACCCCCATGAGATTATACGCCCACGCCACGGAATCAGGAGTGAACGTCCCTACACAAAACACACACACAAAATATATAATTTATTAACATCACGTATCAATGACAATATATAAATATATATCTCCTCTCGTGTGGTTTCAGAGGATATTTCTTGTTGAATGCATGGGTTTGTTGAGTAGATACTTCAAGTAGTTCGATGTAGTAGTTAGTGTACCTTGGGGCGGAGAAATCGGGTGCATTTCCGTGAGTTTGTCCAATTGTTTGGACAGTGTGATGCTGGCCGACGTAGCTTTGAACGCACATTTTTCGAGCGCAAACACGACTCGCGATTGAAATAGGACGCGGCGCACGGCTCTGAGAAACATCGCGCGAAGGCGACGTCGGTGGTCCCCTGTCACGCACCATGTCACACATGAGAAGGTCGCGACGAAGTCTGAGCCACGACGAAGACTGAACCATGTCATGGTCGTCATCCCGTCGTGAAGATTGTCAAGAAGCACAACACACCCAAACTACCGTATTTGTGTTTGATCTGCACCTAGTATAAAAATCGCGAATATACACATGATATATATATAATCTCAAATCAATGAAACAAATCGAATATTTACTGCTAATTCAATCCCTCGTATTGAATTACCATGGTGCAAAGTTTCGACACCTACGGTAGTAATAAGTACACTGTATATTTGAGTGGTGGTTGTAGCGTCGTCCCAAATAACAACCGATGCAATATATTTGGACTTTCGGCGTAGAGTGTACAATATCAAATAAAGTTGACCCATTTGTACGATCGGAGAATATCCTAGCCAATCAAAGTGCACGAACAAAATATGTCAACCAATCTTCGATTAGTCTAGTTGTAGGCAACAACGCGTTCATCTATCTTCGAATACATTGAACAAGCGGCTTCAAATCTCTCCACTCAATTACGTCGAAAATAATCATCAGCTTTAAAAAGCCCAAACTGAATCAAACTGCGCGAAAACGACAAACAATTCTATTGTCCTTTTACCCAAATATTGGTTGCCTTTTGTGTTGATTCTTTGCCAACTCTATCGATCGATTCGTTGTAGTACTGAATTTTGTATGTAAAAACGCGCCCTGTGGTGATTGGTATCACACACTAATTGAAGTCACACACTAATTTGACGTTGATGATCTGATTGGCTCATCCTTTTGCAGATTCTTGTGTACATGTATTTGGTTGTGTCGATTCAATCTCCATGCCGCACCAGTTTAGAATATAAACCCAATTCTATCTGTACCTGCCGCCGCCGTGGTCCCGCCAATCAGCGGTGGACTTGCATTGCTCTGGGGATATTGTTTGTTGTTTCGAGGCTGCGGTAGGATCAGGCCTTTGAGCTTGTCCAGTGTCACATCCAATCGCCCGTCAAAGAACGGGTTAGCACGGTCCGAGTGGACTGGTTCAATCGTATCGGCAAACGGCCGCACGTGCTTAAATTGGTCGATGCACTGACCGATTGCGGCCATCGCTTTGTCTCCGTGGCCTTGTTCTTGGTAGATGAACGCTCGGATAAAATGCCCAAACCAGCACGCTGCGTCGACTTTGAGCTATCGGTTTGAAATACGTTCAGGGGGTGGAATGTGTTGTCACCAATTGAATCTGTGTTTTATTATATGTATATTTTCATATATATATATATATATTTGGACGCACCGCTTTTTCAAAATCGCGCATGGCGAGCGACCGCTCGTTGTGCATGTACAGCGAAAAGCCACGGTACAGCAAGACCTTGGCGTCGTTCGATCGTTCGTCCAAGAATTTCGAATACGCTACGACGCCAGACACAAAACATCGGTCGTCACATGGTACGTTTAAGATGGCGACGGCGGATGATATATTATTGTGTGTTGTTGGAAACTCAAGTGACATGGAGAATCTATAATCGACACAAACGTTATCAAATAGAAATGTACACTAAAATCATCGGCACAAGTACGTAGTTAGGGCCTGTTCCAATTAGATATTTTTAGTCCAATTAGATATTTTTAGCAAAATGAAAAAGTGGTTCCAAGTACGTTTTTACCCTCTTTTTGTGCGATTTTTTACGCAACTCACTATACCAAAAATAGAAAAAGAAGTCCTTGACGTCTATTCCTAAATCGTGAGAAAAAAGAACGAGGTAAATCGATTTTGATTGATATTTCTGAAAACTACTACTTGGAACTTCCCCTTAGCCCACCAGATTGTACGAATCAATCCATTGTCAGCATCTTCTAATTAGAGTGATATTATACATTCGATATCACAAACGTGGAGTGGGTTGGAGAAATTAGCGGTAGCCCAAACAACGCAGATAATCATCGACTTTTAGCAAAAATGAAACGACTAACCAAATCCTACATTTCAACCTATGGTATTTGGCCCAAATATTTTACCCATGTGTCCCCGTTGATCACTTTATATACAATATTAACGTTACTATCCATTTGATAGTATATATACTACACTTGGTCTTCGATTTCTCCAATACTAGTATTGGGTAAAACTGCCCCGTCCAAATTTCGGTGGCAAGGACAGTACCTAAATTAGTGTGATTGCAATCCCCACAGGATAACTACTTGTTACAATCAAAATGTTCAAAATCCACACACAATCGATAAGGAAATTGGCGACTCAGAACACAAAAGTCCAAATCTGGGGTAAATAGACAATCTATTTATATGATATAGATATTGTCCATTTACCCCAGATATTACGACTTGTATAAATAATATCGTTGTGTATTGTGGACGTTGTAGGGTGTACCGTCGATGGCATCGGGGTACATTTTGCGGCAAAAGTGGATGTACCCGACAGCGGCGTGACCGTCTCGGAGGTGCGGGGCGGCTTTGCCAAAGTCATACAAAGCACTCGTGTAGTCTTTGAGCAAGAGGTGGCACATGCCTCTCTACCATGTTTGTCATTGGAATCCTAAGCGATCGAAACCAAACAAACCTCCAAGAACGAATACTAGTAGTTTACCTGAACCAAAACAACCTCCAAGAACGAATACTAGTAGTTTACCTGAACCAAACAAACCTCCAAGAACGAATACTAGTATTTTACCTGAACCAAACAAATCTCCAAGAACGAATACTAATATTTTACCTGAACCAAACAAACCTCCAAGAACGAATACTAGTATTTTACCTGAACCAAACAAACCTCCAAGAACGAATACTAATATTTTACCTGAACCAAACA